AAGAGGTGAGAGTGGATCGTGGAGGGTGGTGAGAGGAAGTGTGGACTACAAAGGCCAATCGGTAACAGATCCATAAAGCAGGAGCAGCTCTGGTTTGCAAGATCATCTGCTTCCTGTTGTTCTTGCTGTGTGGGAAAGAAGTGGGAGAAGTCATGTTCTCCATTGTAGAAGGCCTCGGATGCTTTGTGCAGGTGACATGGAAAGGGGCAGGCATGGCAGAGGTTGGAAGAGCATCCCAGAGCATCACGTAAGAGGCTAGTAGATGGATGGACAGAGGGGTGGGGCGGGAGAAGGATTTAGTTTCCAAAGAGTTAGCAAGAGAAGCAAGGAAGCCGGGAGACAGGCTGCGGAAGCAAGTGAAAAGAAAAGGAGAGAGCACTCACTACATCTCTGGAACGCTGTGAGAGGGGGTTGAAGAGTAGCATGTGCCACATTCTAAGTGGAATGTCAGAGAGGGCAAGTCCAACTGCAAACTTACCTGCCTGGGTGTGGCACTCATAAATGGCCCCGTCTCTGCATTTGGTGCTGGGGAAAGAAGGATCTGGCATCACCACAACTTTCCAGGGCAACTTGACTATTGCTGGTCTAGCCCACTGAATTCAGAGGTGTTTGCGTTTACCAAATTGGGAAGAGCAAGGGTATCACCAGGTATACATAATTTCACAGCTGTGCCATCTTGTTATAACCTTGCCAAGAGTCTATGGTAACATTAAACCCCTGATTAGTGGAACCATGCTTGAAAATTTCTGAGATACCAAATTGTCCAGCAAGCAGGTACTGAAGAGAACGATCTGGACTGGAGTAAATTCCCACAAAATTCAAGTTAGAGATGTCACCCGCTATCTTTAAAAATAATTGATTTTTTCCTTTTGACTAATGCTTCTCCAACTTTGTAATTTTAAAGGTTTTGATGAGGTAGGGGGAAGGAGGATGGATTCATTCCAGTTGTACCAAACAGTCCTAGAGGCCAGTGGTGTAAATACATAGGAATTAAGTGGTAGGTTGTAGGGAGAAGAGGGATTCTAGTTTATAAGGTCTAGAGTGTGAGTACTTCCGAACTTTAGTATGTATATGAACCTCCTGGGATCTCGTGAAAATGCAGATGCTGATTCAGGGAGTCTAGGGCAGGACCCGAGATCCTGCACGGTCAGCCAGTTCCCAAGTGCTTCTGAGGCTACTGGTCTGCAGACCATGCTTTGAGTAGCACGGACCTACATTACATAACTCGTCCAAAGTTAGCTTATTTTTGAGGCAAGGAGGCTATTAACCAATTAAATTTATGGGTACTAAATTTATGTGTAATGGTAGGGTGATTGCGAAATTTGTAGTCAGATTTTGCAGGTTTAAATCCTGACTCTACCATTTTTTAGCAATAAAACTTTGGGCAAAGTATGGATCGTCTCTGAGTCTCAGTTTTCTCATCTAAAAAAAATGAGGCAATAAGATCTGCCTGGGTTGCCCGGCCACACAGGGTAGATACAAGGGTCAAATGAAGCAACTAAGTGAAAATAATTTATAAACTGAAAATGCGTACATGTGTAACTATTATTTATTATTATTATTATTATTATTATTATTATTATTATTATTATTATGTTTGAAGCTAAATAAACCTTACTAATAGTTCCCATTTCCACTGTTTTTACTTTAATAGTAGATAACATTCAAAGTGTTTAACATCGATCTGACGCTGTTAAGCCCAGTAAGGATTATTTGCTTTGTTCTTCACAAAGCTAATCACATCGGAAGTACTAATGTTAGCCCCATTCTACAGGTGAGAAAAGTAAGATTTAGAACACTAAGATTATGCACAGGTGCTGAGTGTTGATGCTGTGATATGAACTCAGCTGGACTCTCCAAAACTCAAGCTCTGGTTCACTCTATTCAGTTGACTCATGGTGGCTAATACCCAGCATCACAGAAGAAGGTGGTGGTCTAGCACAGGACCTGGCCAACTTGTTCCATAAAGGGCAAGACAGTAAATATTTGAGGCTTTGCGTGCCAGGTAGTCAATATTTTAGGTGTTTTGTTTTTTTTTTAAAGATTTTTATTGGGGAATTGGGGGATGGGAACAGTGCTAGGGAATTGGGGGAAGGGGAACAGACAAGTTGCTGTCGTTTTTGTTCTTCAATCTAGTTGTGAAGGATGTTGCTTCACTGGCCCAAGTTGGCACCATCATTGTGCTCTTCCTAGGCGAGGCAGATCAGTCGCTGGATTCTGGACGGCTGCTCACTGCGGCTGCTGGCTGCTTACACTGGCTGCTTACGCTGGCTGCTGGCCGCTCACGCTGCCTGCTGGCTACATACGGTAGCCCATGGCAACCCATTGCCACAGGGGCTGCAGCCTACGCCGTCGCCTGCGACTCATGGCAACCCAGCTCCAGGTTGAGCTGTTGTTCAGCATCTTAGCTGTGGAGGGCAGTGTCACTGGCCCTCATATGTGGGATCCGAACCGGGGCCCTCTGGCATCCCAAGCCAGCTCTTAACCATCGCGCCACTCGGCCGGCCCAATATTTTAGGTTTTGTATGCCACATTTAGGTCTCTCTTGCAACTGTTCAACCCTGCTACTGCAGCACAAAAGCAGACACTACGAAGAGGAATGTGTGTGGCTGAGTTCCAACAAAATATTATTTGCAGAAACACGTGGCAGGATTGATTTGGCCGGTGAACTATAGTTTGCTGATCCCCAGTCTAGAAAATTCTGATTTGTCCAATATGGTGGCTGCTAGTCACCTGTGGCTATTTAAATTTAAACTTATTTAAATTAAATTAAAAATTCAATTCCTTAGTTGCATTAACCACATCTCAAATGCTCAATAGACACATGTGGCTCATGCTTGCTGCGTTGAACAGTGCACTTCCTTCATCACAGAAAGTTTTCTTGGAGAGCCCTTGTCATTGAAGGGGCGGGGGAGAAATCCCTTTCGAGTAGCTGTGAGGACCTGAAAGTTCCGAGTCCTGGCTTTGCTGGTTCACCAGCTCTATGACTCTAAGCAAATCACACCATTTCCCAGAGCCTCCGTTAATGCGCACATAAAATGGAGACAATACCTCCTCACCCTGTTGTTGTAGGAACTGAATAAGAAAATATAGGAAGGGCGGCCAGTTAGCTCAGGTGGTTAGAGCACAGGTTCATAACACCAGGGTTGCCGGTTCAATTCCCACATGGCCCAAGCATCTGCACCCTCCACAACTAGATTGAAACAACTACTTGACTTGGAGCTGATGGGTCCTGAAAAAACACACTGTTCCCCAATAAAAAAAAGTTAAAAAAAATAAAAGATATGAAAAGCTCTTTGTAATTTATTAGGAGCTGCACAAATGGAAGCCATCGTTAGGATTCTAATTGTTATTTGAGATGTGATAAAATGCATAAAGGCAGAATCTGTGTGGGTACCTGGATTGAGAGAAACAGATTTTCTTTTAAATCTTGCAGTGGAAGCTAGTGGCATGTCAAAGAGTTTCTAAAGTAAGGAAATGTTATTTGTACGGTATTTTAATTTTTGGACAGGAAAGAGGCATGAAACCAGGCAGATCTCAGTGGCCATTCATCTTTCAGAGCTTGGAATTGCCTTAGAAATTCTTAACACTGTCAGGAAACAGATGAAACTGTCCGGATAGGAGCTGTGATGAAATTGGGCAGGTCTCAGTATCATTCCTGAAAGAGATCAAAGGTTCATTCTTCTTAGTCGCACTCACAGTTAAAAAGGATGGGGCTATCTCATAGTAAAGGTTTTTAGCCTTTTCCTGTTGTTTCACTTTCCCAGGGGTCCCCTTTGCACCACAACCACTGTGAATTCCCACATAGGTCAAGCACAAAACTCAATTTTGTCACAGAGTGACACACCAAGCCAATCACCCTTCCAGGAAAATCCCTGCTATCACTTCCCTTCCCATCAGCCGACTGTCCTCTCAGTCCCTCAGGAATTCTGCTCATCAGGCTACTCTCCAGTTCTAGGCCATTTTACTACTGTCACTCATTTGAGCAAACAGAGGAGAGGGTTTCTTCCTATTTGGTGCTGGATACAATCCTTCTGACTTCTGCCAATAAGGAGTTATGTTTCATATCCTTTATTATAGCTTTTTACATGAGCTTCCTAGAACCTGTCTCACACTTCTCTACCTTCTTTCCTATTTTCTCTCACCTTTATTTTTCTCACTTTAAGTACTCTTAACAATTCACTTCTCTGCTCTCCTACTCACACTTGCCTATCAGGCTGGGATGAAGGTTCCTATGCTCATACCACCAACTGGTGACAGTGTATATTGGTTGAACCTTTAGGAAAGTAATTTGGGAATATTTTTCTAAATCCTTAAAAATCTGTATATTATATTCCCAGTAGTTCTACTTCTAGGGATGTATTCTAAATAAATTATAGAGATGCACTGAAAATTACTAAACAATGATATTTATTACTGTATTATTTACAATAGTGAAAATATAGAAATAACTTAATCGTCAACAATAGGAAAAGAATTTTAAAAACATCAAATTTTAAAATGGAAAGAAATATACCAAAATATTAACAATGGTTTTGTTTGAATATCTCTGGGGTATCTCTGGTTATTCCTATAGTACGTGATTCCTATTCTTCTTTGTTCTTTTCTTTTTCTTACGATGTGCATATACACAATCAGAAAGAGGTTATAAAAATGAAGGTTCCCATCTCCTGAACCTGGCTATTTTGTATTGCTCTGTAACATTTACAATTAAAGATTCAAAATATACATTTACAGGCTCAGACAACTCTCATGTTAATCAGATAAGTCCTTAGAGACAGCCACACACAAGACTTTCCTGTATGTATTTGAGTAGAGAACCTAAAAGCTCTCTTTGGGGTTCCTTCCAATTGATGCCAGTTTTGGAAGGAAAGGGGTTAAGGCCAAGCTCCCTGAAATAAGCCTGCCATCAGCATATCAGCATGTCAGCATAGGGGATATAGCTGCCAAATCTGCCACGAAACCCCTGTTGTCGTCATTGTCCCCGCAGTGCTGAAGAAATGGCTCTTACGAAGCTAAGTGACAAAATGTCTCTGCAGATGAAGATGGCTGGGAAAGAACAACAGCAGACGGAGAAAAACAATGGCTTTCTCCAAAACATCGATGCAGATGAAGGTGCAATGGAGAAGTAAGTCGGGGATGAGCTCTCAGGAGCAGTTTCTGGGGGTCCTGTCTGGAGACTTCATTGGGCCAGTAGGATGCAAATGATGAGATTTCCAAGTTTAGGATTGGGGTTGAGATTTTTCTCTGCAATTCTTCCAACTTTTGATCTCATGAACATTTACTGTGGTGTAGGACTTGTGAGACACTAAAAGGGCCTATGATCATAAACTAGGCAGATGTCAGCTGAAAATAAATGGTCAAGACTTGAGTCTCAATTTATAAAAATACTTTGAATGTTTTATGTTTTCATTATCTTCACTTGCTAAAGATATAAACCATTTAAAATACTTTCTAGAGTAGAGGAAGTACTAATATTCATATAAGTACATATATGCATTTTTAAAAATACAGGATAGATGTGTACTAATATAAACCAATGATTAACAACATTTTTAAATAGGAAGAAGCTTTTTAAAGTAAAAGATTTTTCCAGAACCCTTCATATATCAAAAACGCTATTATGATGTCAAAGATGTTTTAAAATGCATTTATAATTTATTAATAAGAGTAGCAGATACATTTAGAAATCTTGAGCAGTATTTACTTATGTAAACAGTAGTTATTCAGTCTATAGAAATGTATATAAACCCCAAATCCCCTTTCTATGCAGGGTAGTTATAGTGAGCTCCCCATCTCAGAATTCAAGGCTCATAGACTGGGCACTACTGCCATAAACCTCCATCACAAATATATTGTGATTCATTCAGAAGTATATGTGAGTACATCTGTGTCTCTGTGTGAGTGTATGTACATATATATACATATATGCATTCCAACAAAATAACAATAGTCCAGTAGGCAATGCGCAAAGGATATCAACACAATTATGATGGAAAAGGAAATACAAATGAGTTTTATACATGTGGGCCAAGATGCTCAGCCTCACTCATAAAAGGGATTAAAACTAAAATGAGATACTAGTTTAAGCAGTCCAGATTGGCAAAGATAAAAAACTTTAATAATACATGGTTGTAGAAAAAGAGTGGAAAAGAGCTCTTATCATTTTTGCTGGAAGTATAAATGGATTCAAATTCTTTAAAGCATAATTTAGTAAAACCTATCAAAATTCAAAATATAGATATCTATTGACTTGGCAATTCTATTTTTAGTGTTATTCAATATATATACCTTACATATACACGTTGACACATAGATGTGTAGGGATATTCGTTGCAGCATTGTTTGTAGTAGCACTTGATTGGAAACAATCTACATATCCATTAATAAACAACTGATTAGCAAATTATTAGACAGCCCCACGATGGAATACCATATAACCATTTTTAAATGAGGCAGCTCTGTATGTACTAATATGAAATGGACTCCAAGATAGATTGTTAGAAAAGAAACATAAGGTACAGAATAGTGTGTATAATGTCCTCTCATTTACATTTTAAAAGACTTGTATATTTATATAAACATAGCTGTTTATGCATAGAATCTCTGTGGAAGAATAAAGAAGAAACTACAATAGTAAATGTTGTGGGGAGGACATCTCAAGGCATGAGATCAAGATGATATTGTAGACTTACTTCTGCATGGTCTTTTGAACCATATTCTACTTTTTAACAAATTTTTTTAAAGGACATTTATTTATTATTTGTGCATGCATGCACGCGCACAGAGCTGCACAGCTGCAATGATTTTGGAATTTGGTATCTCACGGTTAAACCATCTATTGATTCAGTCAACAAATATTTATCCAGCCTCTCTATTCCTATCTTGTGCAATATACTGTGCTGCTAGACGTCATTCACACAGAATGAAATCAGTACAAGGATAGCAGGTTCTCCTTGGGGCCAGGAAAGATCCCAGTGTTCTGCCTCTAGGAAAGTTCAGGGCAAGCCTGTACTATAGACTGAAGGCATAACCACAGCATCTGTTTCAATTGTGTGTCTTGCAGTTTGCTATGGGAATGTGCCAAAACAGACCACATCTCGGACAAATCAGATGATGAGAACGGCATTTTCTCTGAAAGCCCTCAAACTGACATCCTTCAAGAGGTGGGGACTGAAAAATGGGTAAGGAAGAGACTTAAAGGTCACGGTGAGGGACGAGAGGAACTTAGTATCGCCAATCTCAAAGCAGTAAGGAAACCTCTGAGGATTTCCTTATAACAAAGAGGGACAGGACGTTCAGAGCTTGAGTCCAGAAGGAAGGCATTGTCTCCGCTGAGGGCTACTTTATTGGTCTTCCCGTGCAAAAAAACTGCGCAGTCCATGTAGCTTTTGTCCTTGGAATTTGTGGCATTTTCACCTTAGAGCAAATTACCATATGTAAAATTGTCTCCTTCTCATGAATTGTTTTCCAATGAATGCATCAAAGAGGTCTGTTTACTCTTAATTCCACCTGAATCTCTCTCAGTCTTTGAAATTCAGCCATCCAGCTGACCTGGAATAGGAGGAAATTAAGACAAAGCCTGAGTTTGTCTTGGAAAGAGTTGATTCTTTCACTACCATTTAGATCAAAGCAAAAGCCCGGCCCAGGCTTCTTTTATTATCGATGAGCAAATCTCTCCATAGATTCCCCCAGGCTATTGGCTACATAGGAGGGTCGTTTCAACCAGTCAGAAAATCATACAGGAAGGATAGAGTGGGAATTTCTCACTCCCAAGCTTATGCAGCCCCCAAAGGAAGCTCAGGATTCATCTGTCTATCTGTCTTTTGAATATATTTTGGATTTGGGGATAGCTAACTCTACAAATCCATAGACGGAAAGGTCCTCAAAGAATATCCTGAGCTGAACTTTACCTTCAAGGACTCTGCAGTAGGTAAACTAACTAACAACAGCAAAAACAGAAAACTAAGAAATAGAAGACGTGAAGGAATGGAGTTCAAAGTGTGGAGAACAGATAATAATTAGACAAAAGCTTTAAGGAAAGCTAGATAGCCAGACAGAGAACATTTATGGGAAAAAAGAATAATAAGAACAAAATTAGAAGAGGAATCTTAGGGTGGAGTTTTTAGAAAGGCTGAGGATGGGAAAAGAAAATAGGGAATTTGAGGTGTGGGGGGGGCTATGATCTTAGGGAACTTATGAATTCAAGGTATTAGTTTACAAATAGTATCATGATTCTTTGCTGGTGGCTTGTCCCTGGACTCCAGGAAAAAGCTGCTACCATTAGACCCACTTTGCCGTGACACCTTCCAGGCATTCAGGGTTCAATGTGCCCTGCTGAATCCTGTTAGTCCGTGAACTGTGATACCATCACATGTTGACCCAGTATACAATAAGTCTAACTAGAGAATAAAATTATTCACTCTGTAAGAGTTTATCAGATACTCCCCACTCTCAGGGTACAAAGCATATAGATTATTTCTTCAAACTTCAGGGCATAAGGTTTAACAAAAGGTTTTTAAATTTTTATGATTGTATTTCTTTGTATTAATTGACTTATATGGAAAATTCTGTAATTACATAAAAATAAATCACACGCAGTTACATAATTAACAAATAACTATTAACAAATTAGGCTGCCTGCTGATGAAATGACAAACATATGACTTGTTGAGGAAGAAACATTTTTTTTCTCTTATTCTCTGAAAGTAAACTAGAAGATCTCTGCTTTCCATAATCTTACATTTGTCTTTTTATAAGAGAAGATCATAAGATTTAAAGGATAGGTTCAGAAAACAGAGAGAGTTAATAGTAGTTAAAATTTTTAATTGTTGGTTTAGTTAACAAAATAGATCTTAGTTAGCCAAAGCTGCCATATCTAACTAAGAAAACCCCAAAATGTTTAGAAATGAATATTTTGCTCTGGTTTTAAGTTTCCTGGTCCCTGGCACTGCTCTATACAGCGTTGATTTCAGATGTCAGGTGAGTGAACAGATTTTCCTATTTACTGCTTTTGCCTGCATCTCTCAGAAGCAGAATGTATTCACCTACTTCTGAAGTCTGTTATTCTAAATCTACTTATTGAGCATCCACTATGTTCTAGGCGCTGTAAAGTCCTGGGAGTACATATATATATAAAATCCCTTCCCCTCAGGGAGCTCTCACACTTGGAGGGACTCAGACAAGGAAACGGCTGTGTGTGATAAATTCATGCTGGGAGTAGCAGATGTGCCACAAAGCCATGGCAGGGGCTATACAGGGAGATGACTGGAGCTACGACAACTGAGTTCTGAAGAATCAAATGAACAGAGCAAAGCATTCCAGAAAGATGGGACAGCACGTGCAAAGACAAAGGAGCCAGAGAGAAACTGTGTTCTGAGAGAAGACGAGTGAAAAACCAGACATAACGTTCAAGCAGGCTGGCAGGACACTAAAGAGGTAGAAAGGAAGTAGGGTGCAGATGGGAAGCCAGAATGCCTAGAGGAGACAGGAACTGATGAAGACCGAAGTAAAGCACTGACTGGCAGCCAGGATGCCATGAAGATAGGGGGACGAGGGGTGGGGAGAAGGACATAGATTTAAAAGATAGGTATTCTTGGGCTTCGATACCAAGTGGATATGACATGGGTAATGAGGAAGGAAAAGAATGTCTTCCGTGAAAACTCTTCCAGGGTTCTGGCAGAGGCATCTGGATGGATAGGAAGACCATATGCAAGGATGGGAAACCTGGGCAAGGTAGAGGGAAAATATGATGAGTTAAATTTTCTGCTTGCTGAGTTTGAGGTGCCTATGGATCGTCCAAATGGAGACATAAGATCTTTCAAAGAGCTGCACATAAATGGAAAGTAACGCCCTCAGGATGTGTATTTCGCGCAGACACACTTTTAATTTGTTATTAAAAACAGACACACACAACTCTGTATGTGTTCAATCCTGTAGATTAAAAAATAACTTTTCTATTTCCTGACTGACTCTTTTGTGGTATATTAACTATTACAGTGAATTGATTGATGAAAACAAGAAATGTCATTATAGATTGTTGGACATAGAACCCTAGAGATGATCTGGTCCAATTTTCTTATTCCAGAACAGGAAACTGAGCTTTAGATTGGCTAGGTGGTTCAGCATCCATAGCAGTACGAAGCTTAGAATTCATGTCCTCCACTTCCCAATGTAGTATTCTTTCTCTACATCGCAGTGTTTCTGTTGCTTTTGAATATCCTGATTTGTTGGGGACAAAAGATTTATTGGGAATATATTGAAATTGTGGGTGCTTTTTTTTTTCATGAAGAGATAAAGATAGAGTGGAATCACATAATACTTGGAAAATCTAGTCTTGGTTTCTTCATCTATAAATGTGAATAATAATCTTTACATCACTGATGAGGTGCCAATGGGTTGTGAAAGTGACAGTGGTAGGGACAAGATACCTTGGGTTAATCTGAACCCAAGGCCTGGATATGATGAAAAGAGCCCCTGTCTTGGAATCAGAAAAACAAGTTCAAGCTCTAGTCCGTACACTTACTAGCTATATGTATTGGTTCCCTGTGGTTGCTGTAACAAATTACCACATTTCATGGCTTAAACAACAAAAATGCATTCTCTCATTGTTCTGCCGGCCCAAATTCTGAAACCATAGGGGCAGCAGTCATGCTTCCTCTGAAGGCTCTAAGGGAGAATTTTTACTTGCCTCTTCCAGCTTTCGGTGGCTCCAGACATTCCTTGGCTTGTGGCTGCCTCTGTTTTCACATGCCCCTCTCTGTGTTTGTGTTTTCTGTTCTGTCTCTCATTAGGACACTTGTCATAGGTCACAGTGGTTCTCAACCTTCCTAATGCTGTGACCCCTTAATACAGTTCCTCATGTTGTGGTGACCCCCAAACATAAAATTATTTTCGTTGCTACTCTATAACTGTAATTTTGCTACTGTTATGAATCGTAATGTAAATATCTTTTTGTTTTCCAACGGTTTTAGGCGACCCCTGTGAAAGGGTCGTGACCCACAGGTTGAGAACCGCTGTCATAGGATTTAGAGCCCACCCAGCTAATCCAAGATAATCTTATATCAAGATCTTTAACTTAATTACATCCACAAAGATTCTTTTTCCAAATAAGGTTGCATTCACAGGGTCTTTTATTTCTTTTTGTTTATTTCTTTTTAATTTACTTTTTTTTATATATTAGTTTCAGGTGTACAAAACAACATAATGATTAGACATTTACACCCTTCACAAAGTGATAGCCCCCCTCCCCCAAGTCTGCTACCCCTCTGACATCATATATAGCTGTTGCAATACCATCGACTATATTCCCTATGCCGTATCCAAACCGGGGGCCCAGCTGCTCAGAGCTGGTGTCCCAAGCCAATTCCTAAGAAATGCGCCACTCGGCTGGCCCCACAATTTCTTTATCTAATTGCTCGTCAATGGACATTTCAGTTGTTTGCATATCTTGGCTATTGTGAATAGCACTGCAGTAAAAATAGGGGTGCATATATTTTTTCAAATTAGTGTTTTGAATTTCTTTGGATAAATACCCAGGGGTGGAATTGCTGGCTCATAAGGTAGTTCTATTTTTAATTTTTTTGAGGAACCTCCATACTATTTTCCATAGTGGCTGCATGAGGGTTTCCTTTTCTCCACATCCTTGCCAACACTTGTTTTTTGTTGATTTATTGATGACAGCCATTCTGACAGCAGTGAGGTGGGATCTCACTGTGGTTTTTATTTGCATTTCTCTGATGATTAGTGATGTTGAGTATCTTTTCATATGTCTGTTGGCCATCTGTATATCCTCTTTAGAAAAATATCTCTTTATGTCCTCTGCCCATTTTTTAATTGGGTTTGTTTCTTGGTGTTGAGTTGTATACGTTTTTAAATAAATTTTAGATATTAACCCCTTATCAAATGTATCATTGGCAAATCTCTTCTTCCATTCAGTAGGATGTCTTTTTATTTTGTTGATGGTTTCCTTTGCTGTGAAAAAACTTTTTAGCTTGTAGTAGTCCCATATGTTTACTTTTTCTTTTGCTTCCCTTATCTGAGGAGATATATCAGTAAAAATATTACTAAGGGTAATGTCTCTGAGTTTACTTCTATATTTTCTTTTAGGAGCTTTATGGTTTCAGGTCTTACATTTAAGTCTTTAATCCATTTTGAGTTTATTCTTCTATATGGCATAAGAAGGTGGTTCAGTTTCATTTTTTTTTTTTGCGTGTGTCTGTCCAGTTTTCCCAGCACCATTTATTAAACAGACTGTCTTTACCCCAATGTAAATTCTTGCTTCCTTTATCATAGATCAAATTACCATATAGGCATGTATTTATTTCTGGGTTCTCTATTCTGTTCCATTGATCTATGTGTCTGTTTTTATGCCAATACCATGCTGTTTTGATTACTATAGCCTTGTAGTATAATTGAATATCAGGTAGCATGATACCTCCCACTTAGTTCTTATTTCTCAGTATTGCCGTGGCTGTTTGGGGTCTTTTATGGTTCCATATAAATTTTAGGATTATTTGTTCCAGTTCTGTGAAAAACGTCATTGGTATTGAATTTTTAAATTTTTATTAAATTTGTTGGGGTGATATTGGTTAGTAAATTATATCCAGGGTCTTGATATTAGGATATGGACGTACCTTTTTAAGGTGACCACTTAACCCACTACATATCATATGACCTTGGGTAAATCACCATATATGAATGGCTGAGGGGATTTCAATACCTACCTTTATCCACCTGAGGTTTATCATGAGAATTAAAGGAAAGAAAGCACACGAAAGAAATTGATATAAAGAATTACATGAATATTAGTTATTCCTATTGACTTGACCAGTAATTTATACAGACATTTTTAATAAGAGATTGATTTCTTCTCCCCGCTCCAACTTTTCCCCCTTTCAATTTAAAAATAGTTTTGCTGAAACAAACAAACAAGACAAACAAACAAAAAATCATAGATAAAAGTTTAGTGGTGGGGCCGGCTGAGTGGCTCAGTTGGTTAAGAGCTCGCTCAAGAGTTTGAGCTCTGAGCAACAGCGGTTCGAGTC